GTAAATGTTAAAAGTTTATTTAATTGCTGCTTTATGTCTGATTCTTATTTATTTAAATATAAACGTTACTGTCTTATATGCTGGCGAAATTACAGGTACATGGGTCTTGTCAACTTATGTCTCATGGTGACGGGCGCGGTGGCAGTGGCAGTAAGATCTTTGAGTTTTAAAGCTCTGAGTGGCACTGCAACTGTAATGGACGAGCATGTTAGCATCAGGCGCACGACTTGTTCGTCCCGTCACTTGATATTATTTAAAAAAGACTGATTGTAGATAGCTAAAATTTAATTTGTCTTAAACATAAGTTGACAAGTCCCATGTGCCTGTAATTTCATCAGCACCCTTGCCCTTCAAAACTGGAACACTGTAATGCTGACATTACTGATGAAGCACCATGCAAGACGACTATTTATAGCCGGTTTGCGGAATTCAAACGCGGGCGTGTGAATCTCTGTGACGAATTTCGTGACGGTCGCCCGTCCACTGCTGTGAACAACAAAAACATCGATGCTGTGCATACCATGAAATTCTTTAGTCATAGGCATGAGTCAAATAAAATCAATACTACACAAATATTTGGGTGTGAAAAAGCTGTGCTTTCGGTGGACCCCACACAATTTGTCTGAGGCTCAAAAAACGGATCGCGTCACATGGTGCAATGCCATGCTTACCAGTTTCAACGAAGGGGCGTCAAATTTGGCGTGGGACATAGTAACCGGTGACGAAACATGGATTTTACGATTCCAAAACAAAGCACCAATCGAGCGTATGGGTCTTTCGAGATGAGCCGAAACCAACCAAATTGGCGCGTGTGCAAAGTGATGATTGATGAGAGATGTTTGCGTCTTTTTTAAATAAAACTGTACACGTGGCTACTGTTGCTTTGGAGAATCGTTGTACTGTGAATAGTGATTGGTACACGACCATTTGTTTGCCGGAAGTTATTGACAAACTCCGTAAAAATAACCATAAACGCCATTTCATCTTGCACCACGATAATGCCAGTTCTCGCACGGCCAGACAGACAAATGAATTTGTGAAGGTGAACAACGTTGACCTTATGCGCCATCCCGCGTACAGTCCCGACCTTGTGACTTTTAGTTATTTCAAAAAATTAAGAACCAGCTACGCGGTCAACGATTTTCATCACTTGAAGAAGCTGTTGAAGAGTATGAAATATAGAGGAGTGGCATAAATGTTTTCAAAATTGGTTCATTCGCATGAAAAAAAAAATTTTTTAAGAAACAATAAATTCATTTCTGACCATTTATAGTATTTTTTCATTTCGGAAACGTATAATGCGCCCCACGTATATACATTACACAGTTTATATTTAAACACCACACCCACAACACCCACAAACAACACATACACACACGCTCATACGCACGCTCACACGCACGCCCACACGCACGCAAGCACGCACGCACGTACGCACGCACACGCACACGCACACGCAGACGCACACGCACACGCACACGCACACGCACACGCACACGCACACGCACACGCACACGCACGCGCACGCGCACACGCACACGAAGACGCACACGCACACGCACACGCACACGCACGCGCACGCACAATAATAAGTATAGATAGTACTACTCCTACTTTTTCGTTTTTATTTTATTTTAACAAGTTTATTCACCTACGATCTATGTACTTAGTAATGTTAAGTCTCATTATTCAAGGGGTGGGGCCTGGTGACATGTAATAAAGGTGAAATACCTACATCAAGCGCGAGTTCCCACAATATACTTCTGTAATGAATGACTAACATTTATATTGTTTTGTATTTTGTGGTGGCAAATTAACATATTTATTATTATTGTCACAAACACTACAAAACAATATTAATTAGCTGATTTTGCTTCAAAAAAAAAACAAACTAAATAGGATATTTAAAAACTGCTTATGGGTTGTAGGTATCTTTTCCTGGTGCTAGGTATTATATAGGACTTTAAAAAAAAGAAGGAAGTTCTCAATTCGACTGCATGTTTTTTTTTGTTTTGTATGTATGTTACGTGATAACTTTTTTTTCACATATTTGAGAACCGATTTTGATGATTCTTTTTTTGTTGGACTGAGGGTAGATCTGTAGTGGTCTAATTTAAATTTGAAGAAAATATCCCACATCTAAAGATGGCAAACTAGGAGATGTATGTCTTTTGAGGTCGGTTTTTTTTGTACTCTGTTTGTACTGATTATCTTAAAAACTAAATTTCGCTAAAAATGTCGATAACGTAGTTATAATAAGGAGTGAGTAATTTTCAGGCATTGAATAGGTGTTTATTTATTTGTGTTGTATGTTATTACTAACATACTTGTACAATAACGATGAGTATTCAAAATACATTTAAAAAACAAGTACAATATTGATATTGTAAAATGCAGCGCGTGTTTTTGTAGAATTTAGTAATGCGATTTCATTCTCTTCTTACTTGGCACGTATTGAATTTCTGTAATGCTACTTCAAATAATATTCACTTTTGTTAAAAAAATATTGTTGAAGAAGTCATAAAGAACTAAAGATAATGATAAATTTATTTCAATATAACTTAATCTAATACAGTACAAGTAAAATAAATGTATATAAAGCTATTATAGTATTAAAATAAACATTAAGAAGGAAATCTAAATTGTATAATTTAGATTTCCTTCTTATTACATTCTTCAAAGTTAAGCTGTACATTTTAATATTAGAACCTAGTGTGTAATTGCGATGCCTAAACTAAGTAAATATGTACCTGTATTTTAGGCATCTTAAATTAAATTGTCTATTCTTTTTAAATGAACCTTATGGCGAATTTTGGAACAAAGGCAGCCATTTTCTTCAAATTTTGTAAAGAGCAACCATGTCTACAACAGATGTAATCTAAAATTAATCTAATTAAGCTTCACTTACTTATGCATAATGTTCTAATCCCCAGATAAATTCGCCGCTCGTCGACTTGAAGTAGTGTTTTCAAAACTCAAAGATTAAGTGCTTAAGTTAACGTTTGTCTACTAAATTTTAAATTCCAAGTTCAATTCATGTTTTAGCAAAAATAAATGAACCTAAAAAGTATAATAAATTTTAGCTTGAAGTTATATATCATATATATAAAAAATAGTATCATTTTTTTACGATGCAAAACAAAACCTTACTTGTTATAATTATTAATACAAAGATCGAACACTCAGAAAAAACACTCAGAAAAATTCCTTCGATCCGGTCGGATTCGAACCGACGTCTTCTTGCATACCGTGGCAGACGCTATACCAACTAAGCCACGGAACGAACTAACGGACCTCACGAATTTGTCTATGTGCTTGCGTCTTGTCTTTGTACTTGGTCTTTCAACGACTTTTTAGTCGTCGAATCCGACCGGATTGAAGGAATTTTTTCTGAGTGTTTTTTCTGAGTGTTCGATCTTTGTATTAATAATTATAACAAACTAGTGGAGTAATTTCACAAAAAATAATTGAATATCAATTCAATAAAAATTTAATTTACACAGTGAATAGCGACATCTCTCGCCAAGACTGGTAGCTGTAAAGGTACTAACTGGGTGATAAATCTGTAATAGATTTCTCATAGATGGCGCTACGACTAAAAAGTCGTTGAAAGACCAACTACAAAGACACGACGCAAGCTCATAGAGAAATTCGTGAGGTCCGTTGGTTCGTTCCGTGGCTTAGTTGGTATAGCGTCTGGCACGGTATGCAAGAAGACGTCGGTTCGAATCCGACCGGATCGAACATTGACTTACAATTATATGGACGTCGGGTCCGCGCTAAAAAGTGTCCGCATTTGTAAGGCGCTAAAATCGTATACAGAGCGCGACACTCCGCTTTAGTCTTCATTTGTTATACTGACAGCGCGATACTGCGATGACATTACAATTTAAATTTCGAATAGGTTGACTTGGGACATTTTTTTCGTGGTTTTTGTATTAGACCCGTCGTCCATTTATTTGTAAGTCAATGGGATCGAAGGAATTTTTTCTGAGTGCTTTTTCTGAGTGTTCGATCTTTGTATTAATAATTATAACAAACTAGTGGAGTAATTTCACAAAAAATAATTGAATATCAATTCAATAAAAATTTAATTAAAACCTTACTTTTTTATGTTACCAAGTGACCGGACGACCATTATTTGCGACCAAATCGCAAAGATCTGAGGGACAATGCCACTGCGCTCATCACCCTGAGACAAGTCCCATGTACCTGTCATCTCACCAGCACCCTTACCCATCAAACCCGAAACCCAGTAATGCTCACATTGCTTGGCGGCAGAAATATGTAAGGTGGCAGTACAACACTTGACGAACTCTGTCACAAGAAGCTCCACTGCTACTAAAACTAATACAATTCAGTGTTTTACTAGACTCACAAGTTTAATTTAATATAGTTCTTAAAATAAATTTAACATAAATAAAGAAAATATCCATTGACAAAACACTTCTTTGTTCGTGTATTCATACTGCCCTCCGCTAACGAAACCGCGGCTAAAGTGACAAAATATTTTTTTTTCAGATATCTTATAAACCATAAATCAGTTTTAGAATATTGAAATGGTTTAATGATATTTCAGCTATGCATCGTTAGTTCCGATAAATCGAACACGATAACTAATTTTACTGTATTTAAAAGAGAATTTTGTGCTCTATCTTTTGCTATTTAAAACGGATATTTGAGCATTTGTCTAATTAACACTGGCACTAATAATATTTTATGCACGTTAAGGTCAACATCACATACGCCAACATCACATAAGTAGCTCTGATACCAAAGTAAGTAGCTAAAGCACTTGTGTTATGGAAATCGGAAACAACGACAGTACCGTAAACATCCAGACCCGAGACAATACAGAAAAGTTAGCTTCGACACTGACCCGGCCGGGGATCGAACCCGGGACCTCAGAGATGGCGATATCATGAAAACCGTTGTGCAAACCACTCGATCACTGAGGCCGTCAACAAGTTATATAATTGTACTAATAGGTTTAGTTGGGTTTAGAACGGATGGCCGATGGGGTCGAAGAGTTCTGCGGCAACCGCGTACTGGTAGACGCAGCGTTGGCAGACCACCTCCAAGGTGGACCGATACTCGGGTGAAGGTAGCGGGAATCCGCTGGATGCGAGCAGCATGGGATCGGTCGTTGTGGCGTTCTTTGAGGGAGGCCTATGTTCAGGAGTGGACGTCTTTCGGCTCAAACGATCAAATTAGGTTTAGATCTTGACACTAGCAATAAGTTACCTATGTAGTCATTGACTTACAAATAAATGGACGACGGGTCCGCGCTAAAAAGTGTCCGCACTTTTAAGGCGCTAAAATCGTATACAGAGCGCGACACTCCGCTTTAGTCTTCATTTGTTCTACGGACAGCGCGATACTGCGATGACATTACAATTTAAATTTCGAATAGGTTGACTTGGGACATTTTTTTCGTGGTTTTTGTATTAGACCCGTCGTCCATTTATTTGTAAGTCAATGAGTCCACCATGTTGTCTGAATGCATCGAGTATATAACCAGAAATAGAGACGAAATAAGGGCCATACATTCCTGGTAACTCATCAGTGATACGTCACTTATAAATATCAAATCTCGTTTGCACTGAAATTACAAATTAGAAATCTGAAATAGTACAGCGCCAACAATTGTGTGTACGTCTTCGTATATTCCAAAAATATTCTGTATTTATTGTAATAAAGATAATATCTCTAACAAAGGGGGCTGTACCATTCGGTGGTGTAGGGAAAAACAGCAAAACATCTAATTACAAAACAAACGGAATCAAATTTCATCGGTAAATAAATATGTAATTTTGCAATTTTCGTCCATTATAGGAAAGCTCAAGTTAACTGGTTGATTTGAAGTGAAACAATTGACGACACCAATCACCACTTCTTATTGAGAGGTCGACGATTCCAATTCCTATGGCGGCATGTTAAGCATGCAAAGCATGTAAATAAGATCACTAAATACGGCCCAAACAACGCCGTAATTTGGAATTTACAATAGAACGATGTTTGTACTTATTAGCACCCATAATTTAATAAATTACCCATCTGGTTAGGCAAGAGTTATTTTTCTTGTTACATTGTAAATTCTACCTTATCAACATGTCATTGTGTTCAATTTTGTTAGCGCTGATACGCCCGTTTTGATCTCAGATAATATCGTGTTTTCTTTGTCAGTTCGCTTCCTAAAAGTCTTCAGAAGTTTTACAAAACATCCTGCGATCATTGATCGAATAGAACACCGGAAACATTTCACGATACTAGGTAGACAAGAATGGAAGTATGGAGTACTCACATACCTACTTAATACCTTATATTAAAGTGTACCAGCGCACCTTAGAGATCGATCAAGGCTTGTGTAGTGATAGTTATATATACGACGTCCATTAAAGGCACCATTTTACCTCTAATTAAGTACATACACTCAGTTATACATCAAGCTGTTGAAAAGTTACTTTTCTCTAATTGCATATTTATACGCTATGTCAATGACATAAAAAGTTAGACAATTTGTGAAATTGTAAAATTCGTCGAGGTTATATTATAGTTGCAGTAACCGTAACTTGAGCATTTAAAAATAGTAAATAAATGTGCATTAAGTAAGCAAATTAAGTATAACAATAATAAATAAAATGTGCAAAAGGTGATGTTATTTCTATGTAAATATTTCTTACAGACAACTTTAAGGTATTATGGTTAATATCCATCACAAGAAGTAAGTGCTTTTTGTTACAGCGCTCAAATGTATTATGTTATTTTGGCTTTTAAACCACGCTGAGTTAATAAGTAGTAAGAGCCAAAGACAAAATGTAGTATTCCCAACTATATAATTAATATTATAAATGTAAAGTAACTCTATCTGTTACGATTTAACGCCTAAACCGCTGAATCAAATTTGACGAATTATGGTATAGAGATAAATGGGATCTAGGATAAGGACGTAGCCTACTCATAAAAATAAATATAATAAATAGATACAAATAAATAGAGGTGACATGAGGGATGAAAGTTTGTATGTAGAACCAATCATTTCTCCAGTAAACTCGATGTACTTTTTCTACGCAGACAAAGTCAAAGCCTCAAAGATGAAATGACGGATTGTAAGTATGTCTGGAGCTGTTTCGCTTATTAAAACCGCAATCTATTCGGAAAATATTATGTTACCTTATTTCATAAACCGTGAAGTGGTATTAGAACAATTTTCCGTTTTTGGGCAGTTATCTGATATATGAAATTCCGAAATTCTTCAATATTTATGAAAATGATTAGGAAGAATTTGTATTTATTTTTTGTAATTCATAGTACCTGCTCAAGTAAATAGTTTTTGATGATATAGTAGTCCCCAAAATAAATTACTTTAAAAAAAAAGAACATTTGAAGGTGAGGGAATGACGAAAATAAAATAAACCATGCAAAAATAGCGATATAAAGTTACTTTTAGATTTAATATTTTGTGTAAACTTACTTAATAAATAAAATCAAACGCTTCTTCTTTTTATGTGATTTAAGGGAATGACTGGTAAAAATCATTAGTAGTAGAATTTTAAATTAAATCTTTTCGTAGTATATACTTTTTACACACACAACTTAAATTTCATCATGTTGAAACGTTTACAGTGCAGTAATTTTCAAAAACCTATGCATTTACCAAAGATAAAAAATGCATTCACAAATCGAGTGAAGGCATAAGTGAGAGGGATTTTTTTTTGGTTGGGACATCATCATCAGCCTATTGCAGTCCACTGCTGGACATAGGCCTCCCCTAATGCACGCCATTTCGCCCTGTTCTCGGCTTGACGCATCCATTTCCTGCCAGCAATCTTCCGCAGATCGTCACTCCATCTGGCTGGAGGGCGTCCCACACTACGTTTGCCAAGTCGTGGTCTCCACTCAAGAACTCGTTTACCCCAGCGGTTGTCGGTTCTTCGGCAGATATGTCCAGCCCACTGCCACTTCAGCTTGCTTATCCGAAGAGCTATGTCGATCACTTTGGTTCTCTGTCTGATAACCTCATTACGGAGTTTATCTTTCAGAGAAACTCCGAGCATAGCTCGTTCCATAGCTCGCTGAGCGACTTTAAACTGGTGGACTAGCCGTATCGTGAGTGTCCACGACTCAGCTCCGTACGTTAGAACTGGTAGGACGCACTGGTTGAAAACCTTTGTTTTCAAGCTCTGCGGGATGGGCGACGAAAAGACTCGACGTAGCTTCCCAAACGCTGCCCAGCCAAGCTGAATCCTCCTCCTGGCCTCCTTCTCGAAGTTATTTCTACCTAACTGCAGAATCTGCCCGAGGTAAGTGTATTCGGAAACAACTTCAAGAAGGTGGCCATCGACGCAGATGGGTCTCGGATCAATGTGGTCATTGATCATGACTTTGGTTTTATCAAAGTTCATGCCGAGACCAATCCGCCGCGAGGCGGATGCTAGGCTGTTCAGCATCTGATCCAGTTCCTCCAGCGATTCTGCCATTAGGACTATGTCATCTGCAAATCGCAAGTGTGAGATGTACTCGCCGTTTATGTTAATGCCCATCCTTTTCCAGTCCAGCGTCTTAAACATATCCTCCAATGCAGCGGTGAACAGTTTCGGGGATATGACATCCCCCTGTCTCACCCCTCTGCGTAATTGGATAGGTTCAGACTGCTGGTCCTGTACTTGGACACTCATGGTAGCAGCATCGTAAAGACATCTCAACACTTGTATATAACGATAGTCTACTTGGCACCGCTGTAAGGATTCCAGGACAGCCCAGGTTTCGACAGAGTCAAAGGCCTTCTCATAGTCCACGAAAGCTAAACACAGGGGCCGATTATACTCTTCGGACTTCTGTATAATCTGCCTCACTGTGTGTATGTGGTCTATGGTGCCATATCCTCCCCGAAACCCGGCCTGTTCCGGTGGCTGAAACTCGTCGAGTCTTCTTGCGAGGCGATTCGTGATGACTCTAGAAAACAGCTTGTAGACGTGACTCAGGAGTGAGATGGGTCGGTAGTTTTTCAGTAGAGTTTTATCTCCCTTTTTAAAGAAGAGAACTACAATACTCCTGTTCCACGCCCGTGGAGTTCTCCCGCAGTGAATGACCAAGTTAAAGAGCTTCTGAAGTTCCTGGATAATAGGAACTCCTCCAGACTTCAAAAGCTCCGAAGTAACTCCGTCTTCACCGGGGGCTTTTCCATTTTTAAGCTGTTTTAGAGCCAACACGATCTCGTCTTGACTGATTTCTGGCAGGTCGTCGGTATAGTGGCGCGTCAAGGTGGCTCTCAAATCGTGATTGTCACGCTGGACCCGAGGAGCATTTACAGCGTACAAACGGCCATAGAAGTCCTCTATCTCGGCGAGTATCTGCGGCTTTGACGTAACGGTTAGGCCATCGTGCGTTGTAAGCTTCGTCAGGTGGCTCCTTCCAAGCTGCTGAGTGAATACTTTGGACCCTCGGTTTCGCTCTATCGCCTCCTCAATGAGGCGTGTATTGGAACTCCGAAGGTCACGCCGTACCATCTTCGCAATCTGCTTGTTTAGGTATGACCTCTCTGACGAAGTGGCCTGGATGTCATCGCGTCTTTTCGTCATAAGTCGCAGAGTCTCATCCGAGAGTTTAGACTTCTTTCCCGTACGCTGCAATTGACAGAATTTGATGCCCTCGCTTCTCAGCGTCCCAACCACGCTTTGTAGGGCCTCGTCAACGTCCTCGGTGGGTTTCAGCTCGACGAATCTCGCTTCGAGAAGTTCATGGAACTTCTCGGAGCCCGCCATGATCTGGAGTGGATTAGGACGGAGCGTGGACTTCATCAAGCGGCTTCTTTCAAGTTTGACATCGATATTCAGAGAGCCTCGTACAAGTCGGTGATCAGATCCGGTGCTAAACCTGTTGATCACTGAGACATCTCTGAATATGTGTCTCTTGTCCGTCAGGATGAAATCGATCTCATTTTTAGTCACAGCGTCGGGGCTTCGCCAAGTCCACTTCCTTTGAGGCTTCTTCTTGAAGAACGAATTCATCAAGAAGAGCCCCTCGTGACACGTTGTTGGTTGGGACATGAATAATATAAATTTTTAAATTCATTTATCGTGTTTTTACCACAGGATACGTAGTACATATTTTGTTTGATTATGAAACTTGGGACAAAGCGAGGTAATGATTTTGAGGACATTTTTATATTATATTATTTAAATAGAATAATCAATATTTTGTGTAGGCATTAGTAGCAAAGGAATTATTATAATTTGCTATTCAATATTAATTTTACAGCAAGAATCAAATACTTTTTTTTTATAAATCTAAAGACCAGAATTTCGAGATTTTGTAAGAATTACCCTTTTATTTTCTTTCTAGCTATAACTTAACGGCACCAGAACTCCTTCTGAAAGGGTTCGTCCAGGGAAATACTGCCACCTCACCTATTTCTGCCGCCAAGCAGTAATGTGACCATTACTGTGTTTTGGTTTTGAAGGGCAACCGTCATGGTGAAATCACAGGCACATGGAACTTGTCAACTTATGTCTTAGGTTGACAGGCGCACTGGCAGTGTTCTTCAGATCATTGCGATTTAAAGCTTTGAGTGGTACTGTAACTACTATGGACAGGCGTGTCGCTTAACACCAGGCGCACGACTAGTTCATCCAGTCACTTGGTATCATAATAAAAAGTGTTACCAATATAATAGGACGTGCAAATTTTCTCACAATCAATGTTTTCGTTCATTGGTCATAACATTGATCGAAAAAAAGAACGGAAAATCGTTTTGCTAAATTCCTAGTCTTGGTTTTGTGACATTGCTGAATGGGATCCTTTTTTATACGCCACAGCTGCACACTTGTCAGTTAGTATTATGTAACCTTTTTGTTTACATGTTGTTACGCTGTTTTTCGTTTCATTTCTATTTTTATTATTATTAGTCTTTTTTTTTATAATGTGGCGTTGCAATAAATGGTTTTGTTTTTACTATTCATATTAATATTACTATTAATTTCTATTTCTAAATCCTTTCGTTTATTTAAATAAGTTTTCTAGAATTTAGAAATGACTCTTATTAAAAAATTACTATTCATAATTACAGTTGTTATTGTTATAGATACAAAGATCGAACAAATACAAAGAAAAATTCCTTTCATCCGAATGGACACGAACCAGTCTATTGCTTCACCGTGGCTTTTTGATCTCTGCCGTGGCTACGGCTCTGACTAGCTGTGCTTACAGATCGAGTCAACAGATCTTACGAATTTTTCAATGTGCTTGCTGCAGATGGGTTTAAACGGTTTTTTGGCGTAGCGCCATCTATGAGAAACTTGTGAGAGTTTCTTTACTCAACCAGATACTTTTACAGCTACCAGAAAAGTGACAGAGATGTCGCTATATTAATTGCAATATTTACTTTACTGAATATCATAATGTTTTTATCTTAATATTATTTTTTTTATGAAAAATAGTGACAGACATAACATTATTACGAGGAATAAAAATAAATTAGCTGTTCTTTACAGTAGTCTTCATGAAATCTCAAATTCATTTAATGGGCAATGTATACGATTCAATAATAACATTCCGATTGTTATTCAAAATTTGCAACAGACACAAATACATGAACATCGTGGTAGTACAAGATCAGATCTTCAATAAAATAAATTTTATTACAGTTGTTGTATGGTCGATTTTTTAACTGCTTAAAGTGTAAGACATCGGTGAGGTCAACAATTTCTGGTTTAGCGATAGTTGTGTAGCAGTGTCCATTACGGAACCATTTTATCCGTAATTATTTAAGATAATGGGCGGCTAGGGATTCGATGTTGTGGCAATCAATTAAGTTAGCTTTTTTATATGCTAAGAGTTACTATCGTGAAGTCCGCGATTGAGAACAACAGAGAAGAGGTGAAAGACCACCCGGTAACATTGATTTTCTGTGTTTCCGACTTGTCGTTTATCCAATGTCTCTTTCAAACTTATGCAACTTTTGCATGATCTTTCACTCGTTACGAACTTAGTAGTTCAATCTGCAAGTAGCTTCGTTTCGATGTGTTTCGCACGTTAAACAAGTGACCGAGTGGTATGGTCATTTCACTTTTACTTTCATTTCAAAGGCTTAATCCAACAGGGGACGATAGTTCTGCCGCGCGCCTTTAGTAGAAAGGGCGCATATGATATTAAAAAAAAAAAAGTATGTTTTCTGCTGTGATCAGTAAAAAAACGGCCGATCTGTCACTGTTTTTATTTTTCTAGGTGGATAAGGTATAAAGTTACCGCAAGAGAAAAGTAGCTATTTTTTAAATTTCATTTCTTTAAATATTATGTTCTTGGATTTTGGAGTTTTTGTCACAAACACCGTTTAAACTAACGGCAGCGGCAGAATTACAGACTCGCATACAGGTTATAATTAAATGGTCTAACCATATTTCAAGTGACGTCCTTATGCGTATAATGAGAAGCAAATTTTGCAAAGTTTAACATTAAAATATCGTATATATAAACTGTTGTCATAAATATAGTTATAGGAAATCACTCTATTTTTTTTCTGATCTATATTGCGTATATTTGTGTTCAAACAAACAACAAAACAAGTGTTCCCGACTTAGGTCCGAAAAAAAAGTAGTTTAATTTCCTATGCGTAATGCGTAAATGCGAAAACCTAAGAAAGCGATATAAACTATTGTTTCTCAAAAAAAAAGAACGTGGTTGAACAGATATTAATATAGCGTACGAGTTTTCAGTCTACAGTTGTACCTATAAATATCGTTAAAATAAAATTTGCCATATTTCTACGCCTGTTTGGCACTGCGCCTGCACTTCACTGGAAGCGTAGGGTTTTTAACATTGGGGCAGACAGATACCACTAACAAGAACCACGCGTAGCAACCCTAACCATATAACAAAAGCATAAATACTAACTGAATTAATTGCTATAATATTCTTAGCCATTAGTTTAGATGAAGTATAGTTACATTCTTTGTAACATACCGCCCGTTTCATTAGTCCAGCATCCGGCCAGCCACACTAAGCAGATTTATATTTGAATTATTATATACCTTGTTAACTTGATAATTACTATCAGGTATATTTAATCAAAAGATCAATCGCTAGGCGTTAATTAAACGTTAATTGGACTTAAGAAATGGTTGTAAGAACGTGTAGGCAATTGTACCACGTCGGAATTTAAATTAAATGGTGGACAATGGATATAACAATTTGCATAAGAATGCATTGTTTCTGTCTGCCTGTAAGTTTTCAGGAATGTTGGGCGCTTCAAAGGTATGAAGCAATTTATAGTTGTATTTCCTGCTTTATGTGACTTTTTAGTCACCATCAAGCGAAATCTTAATCAAAGACCCCATTTTAGAAATAAAAATTGGTACGTTAAATTTGCACAATATTTTGCATATTTTTTCGAAAAATATTTCTATTCAGTGTGGTGTCACTACGCTTCTAGGGCAAATAACAATGAAAGAGACGCGCACAGGCAGCGTGGGTGGATCATTTGTCGCAAGCGCACTCTCAGTGATTCCATTAGCGCAAATGGCTACAATTGTACGCTTTTTTAAAAAGTTTTTGTGATGAAAAAGCCACAATAACTAACGCACACACTCATAGCCCCGTATTAGAAAAGCTTTGTATCGCAGGTGCCACAAACACATACATAACAACAAATTACAACCAAACTCAAAATAATATAGAGAGAAATAAATGTAAGCCATACAAATATTTCTCCCGGTCCAGGGATCGAACCCGGGTCCTCTGCGTGGCAAAGCAGCATGGTAACCGTTCGGCAGCTAACGAAAAACACACACAGTGCGTATCAACTTCTCCTTCTTCGCCATTACTAATTGTATGCCTTGAGGCAAATTTAAGTGTCAATTAATTACATATCTACATATTGTAAGTCAATGTCTACATAGATAATATTCTATACATAATGAATACATTGTTTAACGGTCTCAACATAAATGGATACCTCATTAGAGCACAGGACACCACCAGTGGTAAAAAGCAATTGTTCTCAGCACTATATAAAAACGTTTATTGTACTCATTTCCATAACTTATAAACATATTTATAATAATTTATGCATTGAATATTGCGGAAAATTTTATTTTATTTGCTTTGGAAGACTATGGTACAAACGTAAAGGCTACAATTGGAAATAAATTTGTTTTTTTTTTCAAAGAAAATAAACGTTTCGGGCGCTTTAGCCCCGGTACCCCGGCAGTTGATCATTCGGCATCTCTCGGTATCTTTACACGTGCCGCGGTATCCCTAGCTACAACGTGGCATTCTTAGGCATGCCGCAGCATTCATTTGCGATATGGTGGTCCCGACTTTCTTCAGATTTTTGCCTACACTCGCACCACATACCCATACAGTCACACTCGGCGTCCCAAAGCCTACCGAAGCATCCCAAAGGCTGCCGAAGCATACCCGAGGCCGCCGAATCATGTCAGAGGCGGCCGGCTCGGTATATCTAATCGGCATGCGCCGCAGCTTTGTTTTGTAGCTACGACCATTATCATTGAAATTTCGACTATAATTGCATAATTTTAAGGTGTTTTATCTGTAAGGTGTATTATCTAAAAATCCTCTGCCGATGAGTCCCATCAGCGGACGCCGGACCTTACAGGTCCCATGGTCACGACTAATTGAGATGGTGTCGGTCATCAAATAGTAAAAACTACAAGCGAAAATTAATCTCTGAAATTCATGCCAAAAAGGAATGTTACAGAATAATTTGTCTCGGAAAGGTTACTTAACACAACAATAGACTCCATTTAATGCAAAGTCAATGACTCCAATTATGCGTAGAAGTCTCGCAGCAGTTTAGAGGGAAGTTTGTTCTCACTTTGCCCAGTGGGTTACAAAGGGACAAGTTATAGTTCCACTTTAATTAAAAGGAAAACTTAAATACGCATTGCTGGTGCTTAAATTCTGTTCCTTACGGACATCTAATTTCGGAATTTACATCGAGAAGATTTCGCAGGAGTTTATTTAAGAAGGATATAACTGGAAAATTTTTGAA